GTGAAGAGTGTGCTTCTTAGCTCAAGTAGATACATGAAACTAAATGGGCAGCTCCTGTCTGGATGTGAGATGAGAAGGCAGGGAAGGTCAGGAGCTGGTTGAACAGACACGGGAAACCAGGGGTGGAAAGGAGGAGCGTGCTGTCACAGTATAGGGAGAACAACTAGGGTCATATAACAATGTATGTACAAATTTTTGTATGAGAGACTAACTTGAATTGTAAACTTTCACTTAAAGTACAACAATAAAAAAATAAGTATTACAGGATTATATTGATATCTTTAAAATTATATGTATAGGTAAATTATATTATCTTTGAATTTTCATTTCAGGTTAATAAAATTGTTGTTTTTGTTAGGTGCCATCAAGTCAGTTCCAACTCAGAATGACTCTATGCACAACGGAACAAAACGCTGCCCGGTGATTATGAAATATTTGCTTAAAATGAAAAATGATGGGGTTGAGTCTAACAGAGTTGAGAACTACTGGTCTAGAAGATTTGCAAGAGGCACAAATACCACGTGACACGACCACGTGGACATAACCACAAAGGTGTGTGGAAATGTTTTCCAACAGGCAAGATTCTTTCATACTGCAGGAACAACTCTAGATTCAAGAAGGATGACAAGTCATAATCCCAAATACCTTTCTCAAGGGATATAAGTAGAACATATAAAGAGGAAGGAAAGAGTTGACAGATAAATGAAAAATGCTCAATCTTGTTAAGTATCAAATAAACGAGATACCATTTTTAACCTATCAAAATAGCAAAGAATAGAAAAATGACAATAGTCTATGCAGATTTTTGTTTTTTACCTTTTGTGGCTGTTTGTATTATTTGCTCATCTTTTGTTTGCATTCCAGTGTTATTAATCTGTACAAGCTCTTTATACACTAAGGGTAGTAACCCTTTGTCTTACAAGTTATAAACACATTTTTCAGTTTATCATGACTCTGATCCCAACTTCTTCTCCTCAAGAAGAAACTACTTTCAATTATTTTAGCTGTTTCTTCTGGAATTCACTTCCATATTTCTAAAGAGTATGTTTATATTTGTATTTCTTAATTTTTTCTTTTCAAGTTTAGGTATATTATCTTTGATTATCTACCACAAAAGATAACAGGTTGGCTCTTCAGTAACATACACTTCTCCCCCCACGTCCTCCTAGTAAAGTTTTTTTTCCCATGTTAAATCAACATTTAGCATTTGCACGACTGTGTACATGCTACTTATAGCTGAGCCGTGCAGTATATTTTAACTACATGTCCTTTTTTGTACAACTTTTTGTTTGGCTAGAGTTAATAATTGCCTTTTATATTAGTTTGGCTGGGGGTAACAGAAAAATTCAAAGTAACAGTAATTAAGTATGTTAAAAGTAAACTTTAGTTCTCTGTCAGAATCTATAGATCTTTTCTCTTTGACCAGTCAGTTTCCCTAAAAGCAAATCCTCCAGTCTCCTCTTTAGGTCACATAAACCTATTAGAAACATTTTGAGAGTCGAAAAAAGGAAGTAGGTCAGAGGTTTCACTACTCAGCATGCAGACTTTCATTATGTGTCACCCCACTCCTCCACCCGTTTTCAGTATAGATCCTCAAGCCCTGCCGCCTTCAACTATTCTAGAACCTAGAACCTCCATTTATTTCATTCTCTCTAAAGCGTAAATCTTCAGCATTCTCCCACAGTGGCACAAGAGTTATCACTTGGCCATATTATTGCAATAAGAGAGGAAAATTTAGGCTGTCTGCTTTTTTTTTTTATAGACTTTCACCCAATCCCTCTGTTTACAGCCCCAATTCAGATCCAACTTTTAGAGATACCCAGTGCCTCAAATTCCTGAGCCCTTCTAGGGTTCTTTGGTGCAAAATGACTTGTACTTCTTACTGGTTCTTTCCTTCCATTCAGCAGGCTTAAGCTGCAGCTGTTTCATGTCTCGTGAAAGTAAACACATTTGTTCAATTTACTATATTTAACTAGAAGTTGCAGTTTTCTGCAAATATTTTAGTATTTATCTAGTCAAGAAATCTATCAATATTTTCACTCTTGACTTCTTTTACATATTTTTGTATAAACAATAGATCTGAAAACTTCAATTAAATGGAAAATATTCCATCAAGAATACAAAATGTCAAAATGATGACAATTAGAGCCTAATTAAATCAATAACTAAAGAAGAAATCAAAAAAATGTGTGCCTGTATGTGTGTATGTGCCCAAGTGAAGTTCAGGCATTTTCTCTTTTGTTTTGTTTAGAGGCAGATGGGCTAAGTGATAACACCAAAGGAGACTCATCCACAATAGTCCACAGAGGTGATAAAGTGGAGACAGAAGAGTAGAGAGTGGGAATATACTCTGCTTTAACTAAACTTGTTCATTTAATCCTAAAACTCCTGTAGAATACATGTCATTTTTTTCAGTTTACAGATGAAGAATCTGAAGCTAAGAAAGATTAAGGAACTTCTCCAAATCATGGTTAATAAGTGATTAGCCATTTCTTTCTGTTATACCTGTTGCTCCTTCATGTTTAACCCTAAATTGAACAAATTATTCTATGGAACCAAGTGTTCATCTAGTGGAGCACAACTTTAACCACTAAGTATTGTGACAGGGAGACAGTGTCCTTCTTATTTGCCACTGGATCTCCAGAGCCTAATATAGTGCCTATCACAAGAAAAAAAAAAAAAAAAGACATTCAATCATTGTTGAATGAATGGATTTTGGAACAAGAGAGTACAATTTGCTGAAGGAAAATAACTCATGAGGCTAGTCAATATAATTATTTAAACAAGAATTATAGCCACATAAAAAGACAAGAACAGGCAAATGTATAGAGACCAAAGTATTATTAGTTTATTAAAGTTTACCGGGGGGGGGCGGGGGGAAGGGGGTTATTGCTTATAAAGTACTGAGTTTTGGTTTACGGTGATGAAAAAATCGCACTGATTAAGGGTAGGGCTGCACAGTATTTTAAGTGCTATCAATAACTTGTACACCTGCTAAAGTTGAATTGGCAAAAGTTGTATGATAGATATATTTACATCAACCAAAAAAAAAAAAAGAGTAGCAGCTAAGGCTACTTATGTACAACCAAACACCTCACTGGATTTGGTTCCTTGATTTGGAGGTTTAGGGTCATGGTTTCATGGGACATCCCAGTTAACTGGCCTAATAATGTGTTTAGTGCTTCTATTCCACCTCCTAGTTCACTGCATGGTGCCTGGAGTCTTAAAAGCTTGCAAGTGGCCATCCAAGTCACAACAATGGGTCTCTATTTGCCTGGAGCAACAGAGGAAGAAGGAGAGTCACAGACAGGAGGAGGATATGGAATGTGCAGCTAATTGCCTCTGAACAAATGCCACCTTGACCATGAGACCACAAGAACTGGATGGTGCCTGGCTACCATTACAGAACACTTTGATCAAAGAGTCTGTAGAAGAATCCTGATCAAAAAGCGGAAAATGAAGAACAGAATTTCAAATTATCATGGAATCTAGACTTTCTGGAGTCATGAAGGCTGGATGAAACACCAAAACTATTGCCCTGTGGTGATCTTTAAAACTTAAACAAAAATATCCCCTGAAGACGTCTTAAAAACAAACAATAGTTTAGCTTAACTAGTAAAAAATGTCTTCCTTGAGCATTATGCTCTTTTAAGATCTATCTATATGGGATCGAACTAACAACAGCAACTCGAAAGATCAGATACGAACCTTAGGGGGCAGTGAGTTTATGTTAATGGAGGGAAGAACAATTCAGAAAAGGAGGATGAGAAAGGTTCCACAACTTGAAAAATGTAATCAGTGTCACTGAATTGTACATGTAGAAACTGCTGAATTGGTGTATGTCCTGCTGTGTATATTCTCAACAACAGCAACAAAATAAATTATTTAAATAAAAAGAATTATAGCCACTAAAATACCTGGCTAAACTGAAGTAGTTAAATCTAAAATAGAAAATATAAACAAAAAATTTTATTGCTA